ATCAGATTGCAGTGAAAGAGAAAGAATGGTAAACAAAAGTACACACTAAAACAAACAGGCGTAGGTGTAGTGTGTGTGTGTGTGTGTGTGTTCGTACGAGGAAGCGTCAACGCCAAATTTCTATTCTTGACTGTCTCTTTTTTGCCCAATCAAGAATGGAAAATGAAATGATTGAAATTTTTGCTAAAGCTATTTAGCTCAAAAGCCTACCAAATTTAATTCCATGCCTAATTAAAAAAATATTAAATACAAATCATGAAATTAAAACCCTACCCAAATCCACTAACCCACCCGGCCCAACCCCCTATCCTTCCTATTTGTATGTACATTATTTACTACTTATAATAAGTTTATTTATTTATTTATTATCAATTTATCATAAATCAAAATATACTAGTAGTTGTAAATTGAAATTTGGATCTTTCTTTACTTTAGCTTCTACTTTTTGACATCAAATAAATTATTCCCTTCTTTTTATTTTTCGCTTTCTTATTTTGGGCACCACAATCCCACTACTACTTGGGATTTTTTCTTCTTCTTTTATTTGGTAATTAAACTTTGTATATATATATATATAGTTAATTACAAAAGAAAAATGTAAAAAAATTTCAAAGTAAATAAAGGCAATAATAATTATGTGGAGAAAGGTCTCGCTCAAAAATTATTATCTGAGTAAGTCTTAGGTACGCTATTTTTTAAATTAAGAAATACTAATCATGTTGTCATGATTACTCAATAGTGCATTTGAATTTTTCATTACATCATCATTACATAATTGACAATATATATATACATGGTCTATATATATATATACACTAAAGAATGACCTTTGAATGTTTAATTGGTAATCGTAGATTCATAAAATGTTATCAAAGAAAAAGAAGTAGGTAACTTGTAAAATCAAATAACCAATAATAACATGATTGCTTGTTTGCAAAAATAAAATAAAAGAATTAAATAAATAAAATGAGAAAAATGGGTACATTTTACCTAATGATGTAAAAGATTAACCAACAAATTTATAACAATTGAAGTGGATATAATATATGGATGATATTCAAGCAACTGACAACCTTAATTATATATTAATTTACTTAGTATTTAAGCACTCCACCCCACCAAACAATGATCCACGTTTATTTTATAATTTCAGTTTTCTTCTTTCATTGGTCCAAACTGTTGAAATTAATTTGATAAATAAATAAATAAATGTAGAAAATGTTGCTATTTCAAAGGTGCCATTTCTGTCACGCATAGGACCCATTTTATAAAATTAATTTATTTTTTTGTTGAATGAGACAACGGTTATTTCTATTTCTTTAATAGTCTAACTTGTGTAAGTCTTATATATGTTTCAAGGTCCTTTTTTTATTTAATCAAATTTAAATAAGTCGACGTTCTTTCTTCGAACATGTAAATGTGTGCAAAATGAGTAGTTAGATAGGTATGTATAGTAAATCGTATAAACGATACACCTAAATATTCACTAATATTCACTAGTGGAGTCGTCAGAATTTTAAGTTTGAGAGGGCAGGCAGATGCATTAAAAAGTTTATGAAGAGGACCGTTAATGTTATCGTACATAAATAGAGATTTGAAAAATGTTAGGGGTTATGGCCCCTGGCCCTATACTGGCTCCGCGCCACTGCATATAATTCAATCTTGGTAAAACGGAACATTAATTCATTTTTTTGTATAAAAATTACTATAAATAAAATAGGAAAGTTACTTGGCATTGGATCTTACTAATAAGTGAAGTACAATTAAGTGCTTAGACCTACAATTTGAGGCAAATAAAGAAACACTTGAATGCCATACTATTCCACTCCTCATTTTATGACTTGAAAAAGTAAAAATATCAACCAAAAATAAGAAAATTAAAAATAAAATAATGAGTTTTTTTTTTCCAAGACAGCAACAAGACTCACGACTCATAAATTACTAAAGTTGGTTTTTTTAATTTATATTTATTTTTATTTTCTACTTTATAGGCACTTTATCCTAAACATTTCAAAAGTGAACCCTAACAAAATTTGGCATTTTTCACACAATTGACAGGCCCCAGGAAAAAAATAGACTTCATTTCAATATTTTCAATTTTACTTTTTTTTTTTTTTTTTTTAATTCGTGTGGTGAATTGGTAATTAAGACACACCCACATATATATCATAGAATTCATGCATATTTATTAATTTATTTAATTGTTTTTCTAAGGAAACAAAATAGTAATGTCCTTCTCATTTAGGTCGTTTTCCAGTCTGATTGTCACATTTAAGTAAAAAGACCAACATTCTCATGGTATGGCTCCACTTTTTTTTTTTATTTTTCAATAAATTTCATTTTTAATAATTATTAATTACCCCGAATTAATTTAATCTTTTTTATTTTATTCTATCCTGAGAATTCCTGGCCTTTTTACATCATTCTGAAGATTATGCATTTAATGTTCAGAACTTAGTGTATTACCGTAGAGTGAATATTTCTTTTAATGAAAAAAGAAAATATTATAATTTTATTTTTTATTTGAGTGAAATTAAATGGAAAAGGTAAATTAAAAAGGAGGAGAGAGAGAAAAAAAAGCAAAAAAAGGAAATATGGGCTTTGGACAAAGTTTAATGAATGGGGCCCATTAAGAAAGGGACCAATTGAAAGGGCGAGCACTTGCGGAACAAAGAGTGGGGAGATTATTATTATTATTGGTGATATATATATATTATATTATATATGCATGGTGGTCCTCCACCGTCTGTGGTGGCGCGGCCGGCAGAGGGTGGCCTTGGCCACGTGGGAACGGTGGTCCAGGTGGCCAACAATCCCTCATAGCCTGACACGTGTTGTGGAGATAAAAAAGATATGTACATTGACAGACTGTTTATTTTGGGGGGCAATGCAAATGCCATGGGAGATAGGGATCATGACTTTCTTTTTTTTTCTTTTTTTTTTTTTTATATATCATTTAATATTTTATAAATAATAAAATCTTCATAAATAAAGAGATGATGGGTAGGGGTTGGGGATTTTTTTTTATTTTTTTTTCTAGAAAAAATATTTATTTATTTTTGCATGGCTAGAAATAAATTTGTATGAAAGACTGCAGTTTGACACTTATTTGGTTCTCATCATATATATGGTCCTAAAAATTCGGACTGTGGAATAATTATTGCAATTTGGTAGTATTAAATTTCATTGGGACTTGCATTGGTTTGTTAGCTGCACCGACCAAATCGTGTTCAATAAATTCTTTTGGTAAATATGTACCATGCATAGCATCAAACTATTGATTATTCTTTTTTTTTTTGTATTATTTGTCTTATATAATATTGAATTTTTAGAAAATAAATAAATGGTAAACAAATTATTATTATATGAATTTTTATTTGATATTCAATTGTGTAAGATTAAAAATATGATTGGTATATTTCGTATTGCATTTTAATCAAATCATGAAAATGTGTATTGTCTCCGGCCTTTTTTCAATTTTTTATTTATTTATTGATGGAATTGATTGGGCTTGAGATAAGGTTACTTGGAATTGGCCCAATTTAATAAAGAAAAGAGCCCTTTTTGGCCTTTTGGGGTTGAGTATTTTCCATCACTCATCTGCTGCCGACTACCTACCAAATTATGTCAATAAATTCTTTTTATTTTGAAGGGAAATATTTTTTTTTTATTGATCATATAGAATAAATAAACACTCGTGAAAAAGAGAAAATATATTTAAAAGTTGTACTAAATATGAACTTATGTCAAAACGTAGACGATTGGCTTGAAATATAGTTTTTGTTTCGAAACTTAAATTCAGATTGTGTATGATGGTATAGGAACTATACCTTCAAGACCAGATCCTACTCTTCTAGCCGCCGGAAAACTAACTACCGCCGGTGTAGTTGCCGGCCAAGACGAATTCAACGGAAAAAAAATTAACCAAAATAAAGAGAGAACTTGGAAGAGAATATAATGTCTATTGATTGTTCAAAAACGTAACCCTGATAGGATTTGAATATACATTCATTTATATAGAAAATCGTATATGGCTATTTCCTAACCTAGGACCTTTTTATTCGTCTGGGGTTTACAACAATCAGTCGATCATGGATCTTAATTTACATACATTCCTTATTTGTTTATGGAAATTATCCGAGAATCTTTTTCGTACAATAGTTGTCTGCAAGCTCGGCACCTGCCTGTATAATTCTATTTGCTAACTAATATGTGCTAATGGACTTTTGTTAATGCGAACTTTCTGATCTCTTGATCACTACACTCTCGTCTTGGTTGTGACCATTCACCGGGACTTGGCCTAACGGATGATGACCCATCTCGATCGTGGGCTCAATCCTTATCATTCATTGGGTTTCGGTCCATCAGTGTTGAATATGGAGAGTTCAGCCTAATAGTGCGAAACTATTCAAAGCAGTTAAACATCCAATAAGTTGCTGGAAATTGGAATTATACTAATTCCCATTTTACAAGGCAATAAAATAAGGGTAAATTTTACTTTTTTCGCTTGTACTTTGACTCAAGTTCACTTACTCTCTTTTATTATTGATTACGTCGATTTGCCCCATCCATTTGAAAATTTGTCTAAACATGGCTCTCATTGTTAGTTGTCAGACATTTGACCTTATCACCATTTGATCTAAACTCTGAAATTACAAACGCCACTTCTCTCAGTTTAAATAATTATTAAAAAAATAAAAAATTCAAGACAACGAGAAAACATAGTCACGACGTCAGCCACAATTTATTTTTAATTTTTATTTAAACTAGGAGGATTTTTGTAATTTTCAGACTTAGATCAAACGATATTATAGTCAAATGTATGAAAACTAAGGCGATGACCACATTTGAGACTTTTTTTCAAGTAGAGTGAGTTAAATGGATGCAATCGAAAATAGAAGGAATAAGGTGATATCGAGCGAACAGAGAAAGTAGAATTTACCCATAAAATAATAATAAAAATAAAAATAAAAGAGAAGGCAAAAAACCTAGCCCTCACTCTAGCGTCGCTTTGTCAAATGGAAAAGGTTATTATGAGTTATGGGTTTTGACATTTAGTGGGGTGGCTGGCTGATGATGGTGGTGGTGGAAAAAATGAGGTAAAGGAAGAAAGGTCCCACCTTACACAAAATCTTCAAACCCAACAAAACCCCATTACATCATCCTTCTCTCTTACACAGTGATGTCCGAATTCAGTTTCATTTTTCTATGGGAAAAGACCAAACTTTTCAAGTAATCATACTAAATTTTCAAACTTTGGAGTTTTTCGAATGACACAAACAAGTCACTACTCTTGGGGGCCTCCCTTTGATGTGAGTTTGGAAGAATAACCCATCTTTTTTTTTTGGCTTTGAATTCAACTATTATTATTATTATTATTATTATTATTATTAATTAGTTGCCCTACTTTTCTGTTCTTCCTGTTTGTTGATCTTGAAATGCTCGCCAAGAAAATGGGCACCGAGTTGATTTGATGCGCCTCCTCTTTTGCTCTTTATTGGCTGATTTTGTCAGGTTTACTGTTGTACTGTGTTTAATTATGTGGGTATCTTTTGTGTCAGTTATGAACTGCTGCTATGCTTTCATTTGATGCCTTGTCTGATTTGGGCTTCATCGGATTTCTCGAATTTCTGCAGAGGATTCTTCATCTTTTTCTGGGTAATGATTCTTCATCAAGCTGTTTATTTTTGATGGGCTTTTATTATGGGTAAATAGTGTTTGAAATTGGATTGTGGAGTTGCTTCTTGAATCATAATTGAATGTGGGGATTGAATTCGAAGCTCCTTTGCGAATTTTTTTTTCGATTAGAGAAGAATCAAGCTGTTTATTTTGATGGGATTTTAGTATGAGTAGATAGTGTTTGAAATTGGATTGTGGAGTGGCTTCTTGAGTCATGATTGAATTCGAAGCCCTTTTGCGATTTTTGTTTTTTTGAGTAGAGAAGAATCAAGCTGTTTATTTTGATGGGATTTTACTATGGGTAAATAGTGTTTGAAATTGGATTGTGGAGTTGCTTCATCAATCATGATTGAATGTGGGGATTGAATTCGAAGCCCTTTTGCGGATTTTTGTTTTCGAGTAGAGTTTTGCTTCTAAAGTTGGGGATTTGATTGATGCCTGATGTTTGTAACTTGTGTGGCATTTAGCCGAATTTTGATTCAGAAATTTCACTATTGCTCAGGATACAATCGCGTACCTAAAAGGCGATAGCATTTCGAATAATGGGTTGGCTAACCAAGATCCTCAAAGGCTCAAGCCAAAGAATCTCGAAAGGGCAGTATCATGGCAAATATGAAGATGATACGATTTGGGAAGGACCGTCTTCTTCAGCGGTATATATCATATCAAAATCTGCTATCAATTACATCTTTAAGTATCTGAATTTTTAATTTTTTTTAATTTTTTTTTATGAATATAGGATCAATTGGCAGATTTCGATAGAGAAGAGCTCGATCGAGCAATTGCACTCTCCATTGCGGAAGAAGAAGAAGATGAAGAAGAAGAAGAACGAGATGAGAAGGGGAAAAAAGTAGTAGGTAATTATTAAGAGTAAAGGGTGAAATATATAATTCACAAAAAAAATTGCGATTATGTCTTGATTAGCTTTAGGTAATTTATCCGAAACTTTTACGATCAATCAGATAACGAGTCTGAGTTGGATGAAGACGAACTGCTTGCTAAGGCTATTCAAGAAAGTTGGAATGTGGGCTCCCCACATAGATCACCTTCACCACATTCGCCTCCACCTCGGTATAATAATTATGGAAGTTTATTACCACCTTATCCATTACACTATCCTTCAGGCGGACACAGGTAAATTTGTAATAGATCTCCTTATGAAATCGCTGCTCTCTCTCTCTCTCTCTCTTTTTTTTTTTTTTTTTTTTTTTTTTTTTTTTTTTAAATCCGTGTATGATGAGTTATTTGATTTTTAGTCTGATTTTTGCTGTAGAATATGTGGTGGTTGCAATAGTGAAATTGGGCATGGGAGATATTTGAGTTGCATGGGAGCCGTGTGGCATCCGGAATGTTTCCGTTGTCATTCTTGCAGTCACCCGATTTCTGATTACGAGGTATTGATTGACTAAATCCTGGATTAACTATAGCTATATATATAATCTTCATTCGACTTTGGTTATGACTTATGAATTTTTTTGTTTCAGTTCTCCATGTCTGAAAATCGGCCTTTCCACAAGTCTTGCTATAAGGACCTTCACCATCCGAAATGTGATGTTTGTAAAAATTTCGTAAGTAGACAAAATTCGCATTACAGTCGAATTTTCAGAATAATAAAAGGTTTATTACATTTTCTCGGGTTTTTTATTTTATTTTTTATTTTTTATTTTTTTTTTATTTTTTTTTATTTTTTTATGTAGATTCCCACTAATGCTGCTGGATTAATAGAGTACAGAGCGCATCCTTTCTGGCATCAAAAGTACTGCCCTGGACACGAACAAGATGGCACACCTCGCTGCTGCAGCTGTGAGAGAATGGAGGTGAGAAAACGAAAATTATCCCTTTTTATTATTTAATATTTTAAAAAAATGCCAAAATAAATAAGAAGAATCTATCGAAATGATGCTAATATTAATTCTTGATAAATGCAGCCCGTAGATGCCAGATATTTGATTCTTGATGACGGAAGAAAACTCTGTCTGGAGTGTTTGGATTCTTCGATAATGGACACGCACGAGTGCCAACCTCTTTACCTCGAAATACAAGAGTTTTACGAGGGTTTGAACATGAAAGTCGAGCAGCAAATCCCGTTACTATTGGTCGAAAGACAAGCACTGAATGAAGCCATGGAAGGAGAGAAAAATGTAAATAAAAAAACAACGTAGCACTTTTTCCGAAGTTTTTTTTTTTTTTTTTTTTTTTTACGAAAAAACTTGCTGATTTTATTTTCGTAATATCTGTTTTGTGGCAGGGGCATCACCACATGGCAGAGACGAGAGGACTTTGTCTGTCGGAGGAGCAAACCGTTAGCACAGTACGTGTTTATATTTGCAAAATATCATATAATTTAAAAAATAAAATTTTAATCTTGATTAAAAATTAAAATCCCAGATATCGAGACGACCGAGAATAGGAGGATATCGAATAACAGGCATGTTTACCGAGCCGTATAGGCTGGTCCGCCAATGTGAAGTAACAGCAATCCTTATCTTGTATGGTCTGCCTCGGTAAAGAGTTCTTTTCCTCTACTCGTGCGTACACCGTTGGTATCGTGCACTTGCATGCTTTGGATAAAGAACCTGCTTTTTATCTATACAGGTTATTGACAGGGTCAATCCTGGCCCACGAGATGATGCATGCATGGCTTCGACTTAAAGGTAATTTTCGACTATTTTCACCTCTTTTTTTTTTTTTTCCTTTCGAAAAAATCGAAATATGGTTGAAAAATTTGAGATTTGTCGATTTCAGGTTACCCTAATCTGAGTTCAGATGTTGAAGAAGGTATATGCCAAGTGCTGGCTCATATGTGGTTGGATTCCGAGATTCTTGCTGGCTCCGGTAGTAGTAGTAGTAATATGACATCAGCGTCGACATCATCATCATCGTCGTCATCGTCGTCATCATTGCCTGGATCTTCGAAGAAGGGAAAGCGGTCTGAATTCGAGAAAAAACTCGGAGATTATTTCAAACACCAGATAGAATCGGATACTTCTGCAGCATACGGAGATGGTTTTAGAGAAGGAAATAAGGCTGTGCTCAAATATGGTTTGAGGAGCACTCTCGATCACATTCGACTCACCGGAACCTTCCCTTGTTAGGTTGACTGCTGATTTTTGCTCTGCTATTGGAGAATACGGTTTTCGTTTTTCGGTCTTTTTTTTTTTTTTCCCTTAAAGAAAGTTATAAGCAATAGAATAGAAGCTGAGGCTATAAAGAAAATAAAAAATAAATGATGTTATTACAATTAACAATGTAATATTTCGTTTTTGATTGTACTGTCAGATATACTTTTGCATACTCGAAAGGAAAAAGAATGTATGATAATCTAATTAGAACTCCTAATCTAAATATAACTTTGTATAATAATTGTAATTATAGTAACATTAACAAAGATGGGTAAATTACGGAATCTATGAGATAAGGTAAAATTACGAAACAATTCCTCTTGTTTGGGTAATTACAACCACCTCTTCAGTTAAGAATTTTCTTACACATTCACCCTTATGGGATCAAATTCAACATAATTTTCTAGATTTTGTGGAAAGTTCTCTAGTTTGTACTCGTTTCAGAAGACAAGATACACATTTTATGATCATCTTGTTTCAAAATGTGGAACTCGAATGAGATAAAACGGGTACAAACTGAATAATATTCCATATAATCTACAAGATTCCACTAAATTGGGTAGACGAATAACAAGATTCATAGTTGAAGGGTGGTTGTAATTATCTAAATATAAGGCTTTTTTTAATAATCTCACCTTACCCGAGACTCCTTATATAAGGCTTCTTCAGGCCAAAATTATGGCACGAGGTAAATATCATCACATCATCCGTGTACTTACAAAGTCTCGTGCAATAAAATCGAACAAGGTGCATATTTATTTTCTTATGATTGTTTCAGGCTTTCTTTTGGGCTTATGTGTGGTGTGTGTAATTAATATATTTGGTTTTGAAGATGAGAAATATGTTGCCAAGGTGGTTACTATAAGCTTACGTGAACGAAATCAACAACACACTGCAATCTGCGACAAACGAATTGGGCATCCACGACGACCTTTCTGCGGTAGAGTACGACTGGATCCCGGCATGGTTATACCGAGAGGAACCTTTCGCCGAGAAATCGACCTCGAAGGCGAAGCCGGCTCCAGCCTCTTCGACTGGATCCCGGCATGGTTATATAATATTGTTCCGATCCCCAATTTAAAAAACTCTGAATTTCGGATGTTTATTTATTTTACAGGATTAATTTGACATATACTGATGGTAGCTCACACTGTGAAGAGTCCATTAGAACATATATGTTATCAAAGTGAATAAGACATGTAGGTGACGAGCTCAGAGACAACCGTTGTACGAAGAAGCTTAGAGAATAATTTCCACAAACCAGTAAGAAAAGTCTAATTAAGATCCATGAATGATGTAAATTCCGGACGAATAAAAAGGTCCTACATTAGGTAATAACCATATACCATTTCCTATATAAACGAATATATCAAATTCTATTACGGTTACGTCGAAAACAATCCGATATTTACAAGTCAAGAGACATATTTTATGATCATGTGTTTTAAATGTGGAGCTCGAATGGAATAAGACGGGTACAAACTGGAGATATTCCACATAATATAGAAGATTCCACTAAATTTAATACATGTAAGTTTGGTGTTTGAAACCATATTTGAGCACAGCCTTATTTCTTTCTCTAAAACCATCTCCGTATGTTGCAGAAGTATCCGATTCTATCTGGTGCTTGAAATTATCTCCGAGTTTTTTCTCGAATTCAGACCGTTTTCCCTTCTTCGAAGATCCAGGCAACGATGATGACGACGACGATGATGATGATGTCGACACTGATGTCACATTACTACTACTACTACTACCACCGGAGCCAGCAAGAATCTCGGAATCCAACCACATATGAGCCAGCACTTGGCATATACCTTCTTCAACATCTGAACTCAGATTAGGGTAACCTGAAATCGACAAATCTCAACTTTTTGAACCGTATTTCGACTTTCCAAAAGAAAAAAAAAAGAAGCGGTGAAAATAGTCGAAAATAGTCATAAAGACTAATTTAATTTTTATATGATATTTTGCAAATATAAACACGTACTGTGCTAACGGTTTGCTCCTCCGACAGACAAAGTCGGCCTCTAGTCTTTTCCATTGAGAATAATAATCCTATTCAATGGAAAAGGACTGAGAGTTAGGAATATCGAGCTGAATTTTCATCAGATTTGAAATTACTGCAGCCATGGTTAATCTATTTGCAGGCTCTCGAGCCAAGCACGCTAAGCTCAACTTCATCAAACGCAACGCCACGTCACTACAATCCATAATATAACCGAGCGGATGCCTTATCTGCAGACGAGGGTCAACAAGGTCATTTACATCACCGCCTACACGCATAAGTACTATTTCAGACAAAAGAACCTCTTCACCACTTTCTTGCAAGAAAACAGCTTCTCTCCCTGTAATAAGTTCCAACAGAACTACACCAAATGCATACACATCGGTTTTCGGCGTCACTTCCCCGATATTTACATACTCGGGTGCCATGTAACCCTTTTCACCCACAACACGGCTACTGTGTGAGTTTTCTCCGTCTTCTCGTGCAAGGCTGAAATGTGCAAGCTTTGCCCTCAAATCCCTGTTCAGCAAAATACTGCTACTATTAATATCCTTGTGCACGTAAGCTGGAGACGTGAAATTGTGAAGATAATCGAGCCCATTCGCCACATCTAAAGCAATAATAATTCGATTTCTCCAAGTATGAGAAACGAGAGAGTTTCCGTTACGAAGCCATTCTCTTAAAGAACCTCCCTCCAAGTACTCGTAAACGAGATAGAAAATTCCGTCGTGCTCGCAAACACCGTAAAGACTAATCAGATTGAAGTGATTGATATTACCTAGTATTTTGATCTCCTTAGGCACAATATCAGTGTTCGTTTTTTTCACGGCGAATAATTCACCGCGAATACTACCGAGGTAAATCGAATCACTCAGTCTCTTACACGGGCTGAAATTTTCCGTGGCTGTTTCTAGCTCTTCGTACGTATACATCTTCAAGATTTCGCCTATTCCGATAAGTTTATTGAAGAAATTCTCCGGCAATTCTTGATTACTTTTCCCTTGTCCGATTTTCGACAAAGATTCGTTTTTTCTCTTTCTCCGGTAATGTAAGAAGCTCATGAGAAGAGCAAAGACAAGAACTGATAACGCAGCACCGGATCCAATACCGATGTAAATCCCTTTATACAGCTTCCTCGTTTCGCTATTATTAGGGTTTTGTGTAGTAGGGACTGTTTGGTTAGAGTTTGTGATAATTTGAGAAATCAGAGGCTCTGTTGGCAGAGGAATCAAGATAGTGGTGAAGGGGTAAATAATTTCTTCTTCAGAGAACAACCCATTGGCTAAAGCTACACTTTTGGCAGTAACATTAAACTTTTGGCTGATACTACGAACTGTGTCACCCCAGTTGACCAAAAAAGTCAACAAAAAGTTTTCCCCTTTCAAAATCTGTTCTTGATTAGGGCAAGCGCATCTGAGCGGCACCTGCAATTTCAAGCCCGGGTACAATTCAAATTCGCCGTAGGGGTTCACGCGCATGAGCGCGTCGCAGGTGGTGAGGCCCTCGTAGGTTTCGTTTGCTATGGTGAGATATGTGTTGTCGGCGGGTCTGGAAATATAGGATGTGTTGGCTTGGTAGTACTGGCCGGAGCAGGAGCAGGTCACCGGAATGATGACGTTTTTTTCCGGCGGCAGGATTGTTGATGTGGAGACGTTGTTCAGACGGGAGAGTTCGATTGGGTCGGAGGAAGTGAGGTCGGAAATGGAGGAGAGAGAAATGTAAGGGGGTTTTGTTTTGAAAAGTAAGAAGGCTCTGCAATTAGGGTTTTGGATATTGCAGGTGTAGAGAAAAGATGGAGATTGTTCTGTATTCTTGGAGCTGTTTTGACATACAAGAATTGAATTACCTGAATATTGCTGTTGGGCTTGGGAAATATTTGATGCTGAGAATATTGATAATAATAATAATATTATGAGAAATATGAATAAATTCTTGTTCATGATTTTTTTTTTTTTTTTTTTTGAGGAACAGAGCATCAATCTTAAAAAAGCACAAATTCTTGAATAAGAGAAGGAATTTAAAAAAAAAAATTGTCAATGATGTTCTTCAAAGTCAACTTGTTGTAAGATATTCTGAAGCAAGATACTGATTCCATTACAGAGTGTTGAGAAGAGCAATATTATAAGAGATGGAAAAATAGTAAAGAGTATCTTTCAACATGTGTGAAACTGAATTGGATGAAAATTAGAGCATAATTTGGCACTTTGCTTTTGTTCTTTTCTGTTTCCATCTTTTATAATTTATAGTACACATCTTCCTGGAGTTGCCGGCCTCTTTATTTTTTCATTTAACTACTTAATTAATAGGTAAATTACTGTCATCCCGGATATAAATTCAATTCCGAAAAAATCCGTCTTGTTTGGGTCATCCCTCAACTTTGAGTTTTTTTATACGTCAACTTGTATGGTGTCAAATTCAATCTAATCTTCAAGATTTTGTAGAGTTTGTACTCGTTTTGTGCAAAAATGCAGTTTCTGATGCACGACCATATGATATTCACAAGTCAAGAGACACATCTTATGATCCTGGTAAACTGCTTAAATTTTACTTTTTCTGGTTCTTTTTTTTCTTTTTATCTAAACAGACAAATAATAAACATGAATGTATAAAAAAAAAAAAAAAAAATCCACGAAATACAGACATTATCCTGGTCCGAAATCCAGGCAACCACCCAATACAGATGATCCAAAACCCCACCCAAAAAAATTATGAACCAAACAAAAACTCAAACCCAGAAATTTTCCCGATCACCAAATTCCCTACTCACGCATGACACACCCCCACCGTTTCCAATTTCCGACGCTGTAAATTTCAACCCATCGCCATGGAAACCATTCTCTCACCTACCTCCTTCTGCCCACTTCTCAAAACCCATCTCCCTCGCCACCCCAAATCGAATTCCGCGCTCAAACCCATTTTCTGCGCCCTAAAAAAGCAATCTTTGCAGTCGGTTCAGCCGCAATCCTCGTACAATCCCACCACCACTTGGCTCTCCAATGTCCACCAAGGAATAGCGGCGCTCGCCATTTCTCTGGCCCTCAATTTTACACTACCAATTTTGACCGACGCCGCTTTGGCGTCGGAATTCGATGTTCTTAACGACGGCCCGCCCAAAGATTCGTACGTTATCGACGACGCCGGAGTTCTCAGCCGCGTGACGAAATCCGACTTGAAGAGATTGTTGTCCGATTTGGAGTTCAGAAAAGGCTACCACATTAACGTTGTCACTGTCCGCAAGCTCACTGTAAGTATAATATTTGCTTGTGTGTGTGTTTGTGTGTGTGTGTGTGTGTGTGTGTGTGTGTGTGTGAAATATACTGTATTTGAATTTGAATTTTTAATTGAGCTGAACAGAGATAGTTATATTGTTATCGGATTTAGGAATGCAAGAATTAGGTGTGGAAAATAAATTAAAAAAAATAATGTGTAATGTTCTAACATTTTCGATGTTCTTTGCCTGAAGAGCAAAGCAGATGCATTTGAATATGCTGACCAAGTATTGGAAAAATGGTACCCAACTATCGAGGAAGGCAATAATAAAGGCATAATTGTGCTCGTCACAAGTCAAAAAGAAGGCGCCGTGACAGGTGGCCCCGATTTCATCAAAGCTGTCGGTGATTCTATTCTCGACGCCACTGTATCCGAAAATCTTCCAGGTATAATATATATGTGTGTGTATTCGTTGATAGAATCTTGAATCTTGAAAAATTCCAAGAAATTAGTTGATACATTGTACGATTAGTGTCTGATTGTACTTAACTGGTTTAAAATTGTTGCAGTGCTAGCGGTAGATGAGAAGTACAACGAAGCAGTATATAGTGCCGCTAAGCGTTTAGCGTCTGCTGTGGACGGGCTTCCGGATCCCGGGGGCCCACAGGCTAAGGACTACAAAAGAGAATCTAACTTCAAAACGAAAGAAGAGACAGACGAGAAACGGGGTCAGTTCACTCTTGTTGTTGGAGGTTTGTTAGTCATTGCTTTCGTTGTTCCTATGGCACAATACTTCGCTTATGTCTCCAAGAAATGAAGCAATCCCGGATTTTTTTTTTCTTTTTTAAAACTTCCCATTTGAGTTGAACGAGTGTATAAAATGCTGTATAAATGTTCGTATCGAGTACTGATTCACCTAGTCATGAATCAGCGAATTAAAGTTTCGTAATATCATCTTTCGTCTCCATTTTTCGTTCTTTTTTCATGATGATTCGGTTTAGATGTTTAGAGAGTGCCTCGATAACTAAAATTCATATGGAAAATATTGTATGATTAATTAATTATATATAAACAAATATTAGAGATTCAAAAGAATGATAAGTGTCTTTAGAATTTTAGTTTTAGAAGAAAGGGCATCTTGTCTGCAAACGGCGGATCGGAGTATTTTCCCGTGAGAATCTGCGACGCAACGTACTGATTTGCAGCTTCGGTGTAGTGAATCCCATCCCAGTTCACGTATTCTGTGCTGTCGTCGCAACCTTTGACCGTGACCGTACTTCCGTTCACAACCTTAGTTTGACCACACGAAATCCGACTGTCGTAATTCAACGGTGGACCTCCATAACCACAGCAGGCCATCAATGGCTGCTCAAATCCTGTAAGTTAAATTATTTTAGTACGAAATTTGTTTTTGTACAAACTTACTCGGTATATGTATACTAACCGTATCGAGAATAGTTTGCTAAGAGATTGGACTTGATTGTGAAAATGTCAACGTAAGTGACATTAGCATCTGCATATTGTCCTTGCAATTTTTTACAGAGTGCATGAAGTTGCAGATTAAGTAGTCTCGAAGCTTGGTTGTGTAGGCCCACACATCCAAACTCGTCTAGCTTCGATGCATCACTTCCGAATTTCGCTAAGTTTTGAGGTAAGCAACCGAGTGGGCCCGTGTTGTGAATCCAAAAATTTCTCGCCCCTTGATCGTATAATTTCTGAGGCGAATTGGAAAATTTAAATTTGTGAAATATCCATATACTACATTTCACAACAAAATTTTGTTACTTACCCCAATACCATCTTCGAATTGTAGTAGAATTGTTGGGATCGAAGCGAGAATTTGATCGAACGTCTTGGAATAGAAGGCACCGGCTAGGTCATTCTGGCCGATGTCGAACATGTAGAGACCCTTTTGGAAATAATCTTGAGCTGGTATGTACGTTGTCGAATTTCCTTGCTGCCAAAAATAAAAATAAAAAAAATAAAAATTGAATCTTGAAATTTAACCTTGAATCTTAAAAAATAAAAATAAAAATACATTTAGCCTGGATATCTTGAACTTTTGCCTTGAATCTGAGAAATTGTGCAACTTGAATCCCAAATGAAAACGGGCTAACAGATGAAGCAGTAGCCGGTAGTACAGTCGAACCCGCTGCTGCAAAATTACAGCCTTTCTTGAAGATCGGTGCAGCTACTGAATCCAAATATGCATTCAGAAAAGGCAAATCCATTGCATCCACTGTAATAAGAAAGAAAGCCTCATTAGCACTTATCGGCAGAATCGATAATGTGTGTGTTTAATCTATAAGTAGAAAGTTTTACTTAGAAAATCGATGATTAGGCGGCCATCGCAGAATCTCCCGGAAGGTTTCTTGAAGTAGGTCAGCCCGTTAGGCGGGTCGAGGGGTTCACCGAGGCCCGATACAACTAGGTCTCCCGTGTCGGAATTCGAGTCGCCGAAATTGAAAACGGCGGGAAAATTGAAATCGACGGAGTTTGCTAGCACCGGAAAGATGATGATCAAGAATAAGGTACAGCAAGCCTTTGAAGCCATTGTCTGAATGTGAAACTCAAAAAGTGTTGAGGGTTTTTTCTGTGTGTGCTTATAAGTTATAATGATGTAAAAAAGTTGGTTTGCACTCAAAGTTAGTTGCTTTCCACATTTGTACAACTCCTAAAGCTAAAGTACAAGTCTTTTGTTGCGGTTGTCTACAGGCTTTTCCTTCTTCCCCCCACTGGTTGCTGAGGTGTCACTTATCAATTTCAGTTAATGTTAGTTCAACTATTAATATCCATATTATTTGAGTATTTTTATATTTAAATTCAAATATAATTTCTGTTACATGGTGAGTTTTCAACTGCCAAAAAACAGCCCACCACCCATGACTTGTGGCAATATATCTTCAAAAAACCAAAAATATACAATAAAATGTTTTACTTAGAAGCAAACAGAGCCAACTAATTTCCAAAAAAAAAAAAAATAGAGCAAATAAAACTGAAAAAAGATTGCTTTTTTATTTTTATTTTAATCATCTTAATCTAAGTAATCTAAGCATAGTTTGATTTGTCTGGTATGCTAACTGCCCATTCACCAGACGAAGCCGAAGTCGAAATCCTCGAAAGGCTCTGAAAAACGTCATCCATTTCCGGGCGGTTTGTTGGAGATTTCTCGAGGCAACGATGGATCAACTTAAACAACACAAGAACAAGATCAATATTATAATTCTCTTGCAAAATGGGATCAATCAGCTTTCTGAGGTTTTCGTGTCCGTCGTCAGACATCACCGCCGGAGCTAAAACCTCCGACGGGTCCATCTCGAAAAACGAGACTTCTTTTCCGGTGAGAATCTCCAGCATGACAACTCCGAACGAATAAACATCCATCTTCGTAGAGACTATACCGTTTTCCAAATACTCGGGGGCCATGTACCCTTTCGTCCCGATTATGTGGCGCGTTAGTGCGAATTGACCTTCCTCTCCGTGATCTGTGGATCTCGATAGGCCGAAATTGGAGATTTTGGCCCTGAAATTTTCGTCGAGAAGGATGTTTTTGCTGTTGAGGTCTTTGTGGATGTGAGGTGGCGAAGTGTAGCGGTGGAGGTAGTTTAATCCAGCCGAAATATCGAGCGCGATTTGTAATCTTTTATTCCAATTCATGGTATCGTTAGTCCTTTGATCTTCACTCTTGCGATGGATCCAATCGCTGAGTTCTCCGTTTGAGGCGTATTCGTAGACGAGGTACCACTGGCCCTCGTTGAAGGAGACGCCCGATAGACGGATGAGATTGAAGTGGTTGATCTTGTTTAAGAGATTGATTTCTTTCGACACGTCTCCACCGTTCATTTTCTTGATCGCGGCCAGATCGCCGTTGATTGTTCCGAGATAAACGGAGCCCTTGATCTTCGAACCGGGGCTGAAATCTTGCGTGGCGGATTTGAGTTGTTGAAAAGGGTAGACTTTGAGAGACTGTGCTATGCTCGAAATGCTTTCAAGAAAGTCTTGGGATAACTGCGAGCTGTCATCTTCGTTTTCGTGTTGCTCGGTTTTCCGGAGCGGTTTTTCGATGGATTCGAAGTTTCGAGACGAGTCCGTAGCGGGTTTGGATTTCCGGTTATGTTTACGGAAGAAGAAGAAGCAGACAGCCGAAGCGAGAACAATCCCACCAAGAGCGCCGACCGCCGCGAAAACCCATGTTTTTTTGCTCGAGCCGCCACCGCTCGCCGGAGGAGGAGGGACGGCCGCCGCCGTAGACGGCGGCGGAGGAGGCTGAGGCCCCGTGACTTGAGAACTCGTGGGAGGGTCCCGGAGTGGGATGAGAAGAGTGGTGAATGGGTAGATGTTGAAATCCGTCTCCGACAGGGTGTTGGCGGCGAGGGTTTGACCGGTGTCAACTCCGAACAACGCGCTTATGGAGGAAACGAATTGGTTCCACGTCACCAGATAACTCAGCAGATAGTTGACCCCGGCGTCGGACTGGTTCTGGGTGGGGCAAGCGCATCTCAGGGGAACCGTGATTCTCGACCCGGGGAATATATACCGGGTCGGGTCACCGTTCTGGGTCTCGAGGGACTGACACGTGGACAGGCCCTGGAAGGTGGCGTTGGCGATGCCGAAGTACGTGTCGTCCTGCCGGACGACGTAGGAGGCGTTGACCTGGTAGTGCTCGCCGGAGCAGGAGCAGGTCACCGGGATGAGAACCATTCTGTCTGCTTCGAATACCGCCGTGTTTGTTTCGGGGACCGAGTTGAGCTGAGCTAGCTGGGACGAGTTGACGGAGAAGAGGGCCGAAACGGCGGAGAGGGTGTCGTACGGGGGGGTTGACCGGAAAGTGAGGTATGATTGGCAGCTGCTGCGTCGGCGTGCGCCGTTGCAGGTGTAGCCGAGGACGGAAGTCGAGTTGTCTTTGATCTCGCATGCTGACGTGGCCTGTCGGATGTAGGGCTGTTGGCTGGGGATAATCGCCGGCAAAAATGAAATCAGAAAAATGGAAATTGCAGAGATTAATTGGGTATTGTTCATCTTTGATTTGAAGAAGGGGAAATAAGCAAAGAATGTAGGAGATGAAGATTTTATTTTGTAATAGGAAGTTTCGTTGAATTAAGATTTTATTCATTTTTTCCTTTTTGTTGAAAAGTCAAAGAGTTGAATATTCAATAGTCAACAATATCTTGATGAGTCTGAAATTGTTATTTATTGTATTTTTAAATTATTTTTTTTCGGTCTACTTTTAGTAGTGTCTTTCTCATGTGGGTGGGTTTTGGACAAGTGGAGAGAGAAAGGACTGCAATAATATTATTGTGGAAATGTATTGTGTATATTTGTATAGTAACATAATCTGAAATGATTTGTGCAGGCACATGTTAAACAGTCAGGCACATTTTTTACCATTTTTCAAAAAATAAAAAGTGAAAAAACTCAAAAATTCTCTCAATCTTTCGATTTTTTTTCGCAAAGCCCGTGCAAATCGTCAATAGATCGGAGGTAATTTTTACGTTTTTACGATCCTCTTATTATGTAGATTACGAATCCGAAAAAAAAACGAAAAAAATCGGACTTTGGCCTACTCGTGTGAATTTACACGAGCGCATCCACTGCGCTCGTGTAAATCCACACGAGCAGGCCTTGTTAATTTTTTTTTTAATTGCTCGTGTGATTTCACACAAACAGACATGTTCTGCTCGTGTGATTTCACACGAGCATACCTTCTCTGTTCGTGTGAAATCACACGAGTGGGTTAAAAAAAAAAAACAATTTTTTTAGAATTTAAAAAAAAAAAAAAATTTGTTAATGTGCTCGCGTGAATTTACGCGAGCACTTGCCAAGTGCTCGCGTAAATTCACACGAGCACATGAATAAAAAATAGTCCGATTTTGTGCACATGAATAGTACAAAAGGTAAATAGTTATGGTAAAAAGGTAAAAAATCATGGTAAAAAAGTGTCTGAATGTTTAATTTAGCATGCGTATATTATTACCCTAACATAATTTTGATTTTTCATCAATTGTTTATCTTATTATTATGTTGCATAGAAGTTTTATTTTTACTCGGCTTTGAGCTAAATATTTGACAATCGTACTGAATCCACCACTGTCAATTACTATGTTAAATTCGTAGGCTTCGTTTAGTTGGGTAAATTAGCCATGATTAATTAAATAATTAGATTTTATTTGATTTTCGATAGCTCAATAACTTGTCCGATCGGTCCGCAAATATTATAGAGTAAAAAACAGTTTACCCCCTAAATTAAGGGTCGTTTTGCACTTTGCCCCCCAAACAAAAAAAAGTTGCACGTTTTTACCTGAACTCGTTATTTTATTACACGGTGCCTCTAAAGTGGAATTTTCAGGCGATTTTAGCCGGAATATTAAACACGTGCTCTGCACGTGAGATTTAAAGGGATAAATTCGTCAACTCACTTATATTATATATTAAATATTAATTAATCATTAAAAAAGAAAAAGAAAAAACCCACCATATATCCTCTTCTTCCCCCTCTCTGTCTCTCTTACTACTCGTCTCCACCACCACCCCATTCTCACATTTCCTTCAATTTCTGCCCGGTTATAAAAAAATCGCAACCAAACTAAAAAAAATGGCGATCAAAAAATCAAACAAGCTTTCCCAAGCAGCGGTGTTGAACCAAATCATGAAGAGGTGTTCTTACTTGGACAAATCGACATTTGTTTATGGGTTTTATGTGAGTTTTCTTCAAGTAATGAGAATTAATCGTTTTTGATCATTTTTTTAGTTTGGACTAAAGAAGAAGACCACCGTCTCATCAATTACATACGCTCCCATGGCGAGGGCTGCTGGCGTTCCCTCCCCAAAGCAGCAGGTACAATCTCTTTATGCATGCCTCTGTTTTTTTTTTCAATTTTGGTTCTGTTTCAATTTGTAATTGGGGGTTTTGCTGATTTTAATTAATTTTATGATTTAATTGCAGGATTGCTTAGATGCGGCAAGAGCTGCAGATTGAGGTAGATTAATTACTTGGGACCTGACCTAAAAAGAGGCAATTTCACTGATGAAGAAGATGACATCATCATCAAACTCCATAGCTTGGTTGGAAATAAGTACGCCCCCTTTTCTTTTTCAATTTTTTTTTTAGATTGGGTTTGAATTGAATTGATTAAAAGAAAGGCATTTTTTTATTTTTTAGGGTTTGGATTGAATTGAATTAAAAGAAATGA